AAAAACACCAACATTTTAAAATCCCCTCTGGCATCTGTTTGTTTTCCTCCGCGCATTCTCACCTGTCATTCATTTTGCTTTAGATCCGCGTTAAATTTCAAAGTTTGCTAAGTTCGTTATTGGTAATATTTAAATTCTTATGTAGTTACTAAATTATAGCTTTTAATTTATTATTTGAGTGCAATATTTTCATGAGTTTTTTCGTTCTCCTCCCTTTGTTTTCCTTATTATATGTAGGCCTACCCATAGGCTGCCAATGGATATTGACACATTTATGCTAGAATATTTATGAGTTCACAACGAGAATGCATTTGAATCTTATCTGCAGGACGTAAGATGAGTTACTGCGGCTTTATGTTGACAGCGACGCTTTCCTGTTTGATCACCATTCTTCCGTTTTTCTTGGCCAGTGGAGGTGAGGGACAACTCGGGATAGAGTATTGCCTGATTAACTTATAGGTTGCTCTCCTTGGAAATCGCAGTACGGAGTGCCCACTACGGCTGGATCGGGCCGATCGCCCGACTCGGTCGCGTGAAACTGAAAACAAACACGTTTGTTTTTTAGGAGAACGAGTCAGGCGATCCGCCCAATCAGCCGATCCCATCCGTAGTGGGCACCCCGTATTGAAGTAAAGCACAAAATATACATGTACATCTATAGTATTATATTTGTGAAAGTTCGTCACTTTGGTCGCCTAAAACTTCCAAACCCCTTAGCTTTCGAATCTGAAAAGAAAAAATAGTGGTGGTTCAGAACTATTTATTAAAGGATGCAGTTATATTAAGGAGTATGAAGTCATTGTAGTTTAATTTTCAGTTTTTCATTAGCTTCGTTTAGATTTAATGTTGGGAAAATCCACCTGCTTAGACACCATTGTAAACAAGTGAGGTTTCCGTTCACAAGCACTGGTTTTCAACATTGACTTGACCATCGATTCTTTTGAGTCCGTTCATCGAACGGGTCCCCAGCTAGTTAAATATATTCCACCTTGTCACGACTCAGTTTCACAAATATCGTTTCTATACTTGTTCCTCGAGCATCTAATTTTGGTTTTCGCCCCAAACACTTAATACATGTATCGCAGGAGCACCACCGTAAATTTAAAACCAACATCTTCAACTTCTCGCAGTTCTCAGCTTTCTCAAGCATTATGTACAAGTCACGTCCAGTCTACACTTCCACGGTGTCCTCCAATCATAATTTCTCCTGTATGCCTCGTCTTCTTCCTCTTCGTTCTCTTCCCTGTAGAATAGTCTTGGTCTGTCCAGATAATCGAGTGACGTGCCTGTATCCAGCGTCTTTTC